CCCCCCCCCCCCCCCCGGGTCACAATCTATCGAAAATTTATGTTCCGAGGCTCACACCTTAAAGTAGGTCACACGTTCGAGCCATTTTTAAAAAGAATAACAAATAATTAAAATTTGATCTAAAACACACGTCACTATTAAACGATCACATTTATAAATGTGACACCTTCTGTCAAACTACGTTCATCATAACGGAAAATTAACCAACAAGGTCAATTTCAGGTTTTATTTGTATGAATGATAAAAACTGTGAAGTCACATATGATCTCTACCCCTCCCGCCCCCCACCCCCGGTTACAAACTGTCACATTTTCTTTGACACCCCCTCCCCCTTACACACACACACAACCCGGGAGCGTGTCGTACATATGGAGAGACCCTTACATCATCAATAGTCACAAGAACATCATTGAATTGATAATTGATGAAATTGATGTCATTCTAATTTCATTGTGTTTACATTGATCTTAAGGTCACCCGATTCATATTGCGTTTATGTGTCTCCACTCTCCGAACTCACAATGATGATTCCCAAGCTTAAAACTCATTCATAAATTCTGTAGGCTCTTTTATTATTATTTTTTAAAAATAATAGTTGTATGCTAGTATGCTAGCTTTTTAAAACTATTGTGAAACCATTGTACGGTAATTAGTCATTTTCACCTTGGGTGGATTCGTTATAATATAATAAATAAATGAAAATAAATTAAGATAAGCTTTGCTGGAACTTGTTTACTAAATAGTTAGATAAATTATTTTTTATATAATTATTATGAAATTAATGCTAAAAAAAGTGTCAAAAATGTGATGAAACATTTTATTTTTCGGTATTATCTCGGTAAAAAGTAAAACCGCAAGGAAATTACAATATGGCGACCATTGTTTACTTCGGTTACACAGCTGACTGTTTCGTGTAAACTCTTGTATCAGGGTTTGCATGCTAGTGTTGATTCAATCTACATTCAAGGATATAATGGTGATATTTGTAAGATCAGCCACTGATGAGACAAAACAATCCCTTTTAACTGAAAGAATGCCGCCGACAAGCAGAAATATGTTTAGAAAGGTTCTGGCAACGATTGAGATTTTGGTTCGTCTGGCATTGATGATCATAGCTCGCTTTTGGAAAATGTGCACAACAGGACTACTTATCGGTACATTATTGTTTTGGACTGAAGGAGGTTCATATGCATTTTGCTTTTTTGTCCTTGGAGTTTTTGGCTTGATGTATCACGCCCAAGATATGCTCTTGTATCATCCGGACTCTCCCCCTGATTCCAGAATCATGGTAATCACTCCAGATGCTTTTCAAATGCCATTTGAAAATCATTTTATAAGAACAAAGGATGGTACACGAATAAATGTTGTTCTAATCAAACAGATGCATAGATCAGCCTTAACAGTTGTTTTCTTCCATGGTAATGCAGGAAATATAGGACACAGGTTTGAATTTTTTGTTTTCAATTTCACCAGTCACTGAGTCATTTGAATTTGAGTCAGTGGAATAGATAAGTAGGCGTAATTTACTTTGTATTTGAGATTAGGTGATATTAAAATATTTGGGTCAAGTATCACTTGAACACATTGTGATTGTTTTTTTTATAACATGTTCAGTAGGGCATATCTGGGTATCTTTTAAAAATGTTATTAAGTTATTACATATGATTATGATATAAGTAAGCTAACAATATACTTGCTAATGCTATGGGGAGAATAGATACTGCTTAACTTTTACTGTTATTACTGTACTAGTATTATTTCATTTTCTCTTTATTCTCAGGCTTCAAAATGCACTTGGAATTTATTCTGTTTTGAATGCTAATATCTTGATGGTGGAATATAGAGGTTATGGGAAGAGTGAGGGTAACATAAGTGAATCAGGTAGAGTGCATACATTAAATGATAAAGCTGGTAATTATGATACTGCAGCTCTTTTAATCTTTAGCTTATCAGAGATTTGCAATCTTTTTGTATTATTGATATTGTATTTTAAGATATTCTTGTGTTTTGTATTGTTTTGTTCGCATTCAGCTGAAATGTTTGTTTTATTGCCTTTTTTTTTTATATTATTCAAGCTTCAACTTACCTTGTTTTTAAGATTTCTTTCAAATGGTTTGAATGCAGTTTCTACTGTATTTTCTTCTTAAAAAGAAAGATTACATGCATGTGATACAGCCATGGCTTGAAAATTTAATCTGTGTACAATCCATTAAACCAATACTGGTACTTATAAATTTAATAACTTGGACATTTGTATAATTTTAACTTGATTATTCCAGTGCATTAATAATTTTGCAACTTTGTCTAGAGTTGTTATGGAAAACCGATTGTTTAAATATTGCTTTGTCACATTGTTTCTGCTGTTTGTTTAAGGTCTATACCAAGATGCTGAAGCTGCCATGGATTTTCTACTGAAGCGTCCAGATATTGACCCAACTCAGATCGTTGTGTTTGGGAGATCTCTGGGTGGCTCTGTTGCAATATATCTGGCATCTTCCCAGTTCTATGGGCCCAAAATAGCTGCTGTCATTTTGGAGAACACATTCACATCTATTTACGACATGAGCCTCAAGATCCTTAGGCTAGCTTGTATAAAGTATATACCTGGGTGGTGCTACAAAAATAAAGTAAGTTGTTTCTACAATTTTTTCCTTTAAAGTTTCCAACTGGTCAGCATAGAGTAGGAATGAGTTTTTGGTGTCATATTGTTAGGGTTGAAGAGCTAAACTTTGATCAAAAGTGAGAAAAAGGTGAGAACTTTCTATCCACTTAGCACATCTGGTACACTGGTAAACAAAACAACTCTTTTACCTGCACCTATTTATCCCAGCTGATAATTTACACATAATATAATATGATATGGGTATTTGATTTGATTTTGCCTGGGGTCAATTTTGCTGCATTAGTATAAAAAGACCAAGTCACAATCCATTCATTCAATTTCCCAACTGTAATTATTTCTATTTCAGTTCCCATCAGTTCAGAGAATAGAATTGATCTCTACCCCAATTTTGTTCCTCAGTGGGACCATGGATGAATTAGTACCTGCCAAGATGATGAAGGAGCTATACAGTGTGAGTTTAATTTTTATTTATTAGGGGCTATTTGTAATTTTTAAAAATATTTATATTGAGTAGAATCATAAAATTTAGCATGAAAATTATATAATAAAAATAAGAGATGCATCGTTCCCTTAAAATTAATAACAGTAAGCACACAATTTTACACATTTGAACAATTTACATGCCTAGGTTTTTTGTTTTTAAAAAACATGCCTAGGTTTGAGTTCATTTAGTTTGCTTAGTAGTGATATCTTAGAGTTTTTTTTAAAAATATAAATGATTTCATGATTTGATTCACTGACAACCAATTATGAAAGCACAAGGTGTAAAATCTTTTTGTTGGTGCAATTTGATTATTTTTTTTACATTTGCTGACATTTTATAAGTCGTGTTCATGACTATGTCCATCTTAATCTAAGAGACTGTCAGAGATGTTACTGGCCTTTCCATGCAAAAAAAAAAAAAACGGGGGGGGCGCATTCAGGGGGTAGCCATGTAAACTAACCCTTATCAAAACATCTGAAGCCAATCTACTAACTAGAGCAGTGGCTCTCAACCTTTTTAGTGCCGCGACCCTTTTATACAGTTACTGGTGTCGTGCCGACCCCCAGCTATACACTTATTTTCGTTGCTACTTCATAGCTGTAAGGATATGTGTTTTCAGATGGTCTTAGGCGACCCCTGGGAAAGGGTCCCGCGACCCCCAAAGGGTTGAGAACCGCTGAACTAGAGGCTTTTTTTTTTCCTACTATGAAACTAAATCAAGTTTTTAACAGATACGTAACTTTATCATTCAAAAAAACATCCTAGCTGACAAAAAAACTATTAATGGTAATAAGAACTGTAAGCACCAATTCTTGTTTCAGAGGTCAAAGAGCAATCTGAAAAGGCTTGAGTGTTTTGCCAATGGAACACATAACGACACCTGGATGTGCCCTGGCTACTACGAGGCTTGGATGAGGTTCATCCCTGAGGTCAGCCTACCTAAATTAAATTAAGAGTCCAGGGTGGTGAATGATCAGTGAGATGTGTGTCATAATAGTTGTTTTGCCTCACATGCTAACTCCATTTCACATTTAAAGAGGATTATCTTTAAATAAGCTTAATCCACAAGTTTTATAAATCTATGCATATTAATTATCAAACTGAGCAAAAATGATTATCTGGCTCCCTGTAGGCCCAAGATCTGGGTGCAATACAATACAACAACCGTTTACAATACAATGATGTTAATTTCAGTAAGAGCAAAAATCATGTTACAATGTGTTTTTATTGCTTGTCATTTTTTTTTTTTTGTATAATGTATTCTAAATTAGTTTTTTCAATGGATGATGTCATCAAAATCTTGAAATTTCTGCTGTTTATTTCTTTTTTTTCATTTACCTCTACATGTACTTGTATTTTTATAGTTATTGAGTTTTTATCTCTGGTTTTTCTTCTTCTTCTTCTTTATTTTAAGGGCCCACGATCAATGAATTGATCATTCTGGCTCCTATGTTTCAGAGGGGTTTGCGATGTTACTGTCCATGGGTTTCAATGGGATACTTCACTGGTTGCAAGGTGGAGGCAATAGACACAAATGTCTCGAGTGTAGCCGCCTCAACTGTTGCTTTTGGAAGCTTGTTCCAGTCCCCTATTGTCTTCGGCAGGAATGAGGAGCTTCTGTACTTTGTTCTTGTTTTTACCAGCCGGAACTGTTTGTCGTGACTTCGTCGCAGTCTGGGGGGAAGATGAACGAGTTTCTGTTTGATTCCGATTTTTTTTCATCATAATTGTTGATGGTCTCTTTATCTCTCTTGAAATGTCATTCTCATCATGAAATTTAAGAAGCATATTTGTCACCAGCTTTATTGAATAGCACTCAAGCAGTTTATTTCATTAACTCAGCAATTGTCCATAACCGTCCCTGATAGTTCATTTCTGGAGACACTGTTTTACCCTATGTTTTATATCTCCCAGGCCTTACGACATCAGCCACAGTTGACAAGAGAGCTGGACAAAGAATATACACTGGGCTCCGTTGTTTCCATATAGCCTGACCCAGTCAAAGTCCAGCAGGAGCGAGCAAGAGTCAAAATGGGATGAAAGCTACTCAGACTTTACATGCTGGTGCCTTATTATTTTTGTATACTGCATCAAAATGACTTATGGACCAGGATTTGACTTGTATCACAACCGGAACTTGAAATTTGTTAAACATTTAGGAACAAGTTTCTTTTTTAAATGTTAGAATTGTAATATACCAATCAAACCTGTGCTTGGAAGTCTAGCAATAATGAGATGCAAGCTGGCATGCTTATCTTACCTTTTTATAAGAGTATTGGTCTTACCTTTGTCACTGATGAATTTTTTTTTTTTTTTTTAAGGCATTAAAATTCTGCTTTCATTTTGTTGTTTTTTTATACCAGTTAAATACACTCTGGGATGTCCCTTTGCAGTTTATTTTTGTCCCCCCTAAGAATAAAAATCCCATCCATGGCAACTGCATGAGGTGGAGTTACATACCCGGAGCACTAATTAGTAGAGTGGGGCGCTTGACTTTATCATGTGATAGCATCTCATACAACGCAGTTTGAGATGCACTTTGATGTACAGTGGATCAAGGCCGAAATAAAAAGAAAATTACTCATGCTTCTGACCTTAAACAAATTTGTCAAGGCCCTAATACAAAAAGCCACTCATACAACTGTATCAAGACCCCAATATAACAGTGGTTAGATGCAAGTTTGAGCATCTTATGAAATTAGTTCCCCAATTTTATGCCAGGAGATGCATCCTAGATTGAAGATGGCTATTGTATTTACAATGTTAAGCTTAGCTTATTTGAACTTTTTATTGCACATTCCAATGTCAGGTATGCTTTTAAAATAAATAAAATATTTAAAAATCTGCAAACAAGCATAAATGTCTGAATTTGAATTACTTTATTTTTTTTATAATTGCATAAAAAAACCTTTGTTGGCAAAATAATCTCCAACCCTTCGTAGAGGGCCAACCTTTTATTTTGATTCGTTTAATTGTCCTGTCTTTACTTTTCTGATCAAGTCTAAACACATCTTTTCCCACTATTTATTTACTTTTTGTTAGGGCACTATTTTTTAACAGTTAATAATATGAACACGCAGGGCACTAGTTTTAACAGCTATTAATATGAACACGTAGGGGCACTAGTTTTAACATTTATTATAATACTATTACCACTCTTAATTTCATATGCTATTGGTGAGAACTTTATTTTAGGAAAGGGTGCAAACATATTGTGGTCTTAAAAAATGTGTATCTTGAGGGCTATAGATTGCTGTAGGCTTCATATGAACCATATGTCAGTTTTAATAAAATAATCTGACATATTTATGAATATGTTGGTTTTTTTTTTTAAAGTAATATGTTGATTACATTTTATTGACCAATGTATGTGACATTTTGACAGCATGATGTGCAATTCTTTAATTCTGATTACTTATTACTCGTAAACCCGTCGGGTATTTAATTGAAGGTTTTGTAAATAATTGCGATATAACTGATTTAGATTTTTATTTTGCTAAGTAATATTAAACATTTATCAAACGCACTCTTATGGTTTGTATGATTGTATGCGCACTTGCAAAGTATAAGAGCCTAGAAAGTACACCGCTTATCAATACATTTACTTTAACAAACACTGATTTTTCATTTTAAGAATGTCATTCAAACTGTTCAGCATTGTACTGGCCAACCATAAGAAGTAAACCTATTTGCAATACATTAAAGTGTCTATGGAGTGTTAAAGAAATTTGTATTTTATTTATCCCAATTGTATCTCATTATTTTAAATGGGTATTGATGCTGCATTGGCTAACTAAGAGAGGAGAGGTAGTGCTTGCACCCACCTGGGGGGGGGGGGAAGGTGTTCGGTTGAGGGTTTTTTTAAGGATGTATAGTAGAACCCTTAGGATGTGTGTTATAAGATCTGCCTGGTGGTTTTTTCTTTAGGGCTCCTCCAACCTCGGCCAATCACAATTTATGGCTATGTTTTCAATGACACATTTCATCAGCTGGTCCATCAATATCTTAATATTTCATCCACATGGAAACACTAATTGTTCCATTGTGATTTTTATACTACACTTTAACTTTTTTATTATTTCAATTCAAAATGAGTTCAAAACAACAAAAAATGGATGAACATGTCCATTCCATAGAGTTGCAACAAGGAAATAGTCAAATATTTTTAATAAACTAAATAGCTAAATCTTGAAAACAAATATAATTAATTATAATTGTTTTTAAGATTTAGCCATTTTGGTAATTAAAAGTATTTGAATAATAAATTTATAAGAAAAATAAATGAGAACTTTGTTAATTACAATTACAGTGATTTTCTGTTTTGCTGACCTCATTAATTTACTTGGTTCCTATGTCGTGCCACCACAGTTACATAAATAATTTCCCAGCATGTATCCCAGTCTAACTGCGGCACATACAATTAATGCAATCATGCACATAAAATTATCTTATGTTGTGACAATTAAGTACTTAGATTGCTTTATTTTTCATTTGGGTTGCAATTTTCGCTATATACTTTTTTTTAAAACATTTATATTATATTGAACAAAAGTTTTATTGAAATGCAATGTAATTATTGTTAAAATTAAGCATCTAATTATGTTAAATTTTTATTCCAGGTTTCCATGTGGGGGAAATAAAAACAATTTATCTTCCTCATTTCTGTTTTGATGTTTATTTTAATAATTTTTTTTTAAAACCATGGACCCTACCTGCTTCATTCTGTGACTAATTATAAGAGTGTTGAACTGCAATAAAGCTTTAAAATATATTAATTAGACACGAACCATTTGCGTCAATATAACAATATATGTAAAATTATTATTAAAGCTTAACATATAGGCCTATTGTTATATTGACACAGATTGTTGGTGTCTAATTAATTCAAGTTACTAAGTATGTACATTAGGAGATGACGTCAGCGAGCTGTCGAGCCTTAACCGTTAATGCCCTGCAAACCAAAAGATTTTTTTTTTAAATGGAAAACATAACTTGTAAAAGAAAGGAATTCTAATTTTCTATGGTTGGTGGGTAAATTTTGGTAGGAAATCGACAAAGATATTCTCAAAAAGGAATTTCTAAATTTTATTTAAAGTTTGAGCAGGCGACATAAATTCTTAAAATTAATTTAAAAAATTTTACTAGAAAATTCATTTTCTGTTATGGGTTGAACGGAAACTTTTTCATCTACTTAGGGTGGAAGTGTAATTCTCTCAAGAGTTTATGTTGCAAAGTACTTTTAAGAGTCTTTAAGACATGAATCCAGACAGACATATACGTAACATAGAGTCTTGTGGCATATGAGACTTCCTGATTGTGCTGTGATGTATCAAACTGCTTTCTTGTTTCATTTGGTAGATGTTTTTTTTTAAGACGGATACCCTTGTTGAGGTTTGCTTATTTATATATACAATACTTTAAATCTGTTTGTTTACATTTTAGCCCAAATGTGTACATGTCAGTATTTTTAGTAACATACTTTTTTTCTTCAAATTCCCAATTTAGAATTGTTTGTATCGTTATAAACAACAAAAAATTTAAATTTTCTTATTGACAATTAAATAATATCATTATTAATGGCAAAATGTCAAAATCTGTCCTTAATTAGTTTTGCCTTTTTATTTATTTGTTTATTTATTTTCTGTTTCAGGTTGATCCTGAAGTGTCAAAGTGTCCTCGTTTTATAGCCATTTTCATTGTTTCTATAGAATAGTAGTTACTATCCTAGTGTCTCATTTGTATTTACTTAGTTTACATGTTTTAATAATTGTAAAGCGCTTAGAGCTTTATGATAAGCGCTATATAAAAATGCCTAAATAAATAAATTTGTTTCTTTGTGTTTTGGGGAGGGGTGGGGGTTGTGGGGGGGGATTGGTTTCCATGAACCCATTTTTTTACAAATCGGATGGGGCTTTATTGAAATGGTGGAATATAATGTGAAAATAAACACAAAATCCTTTAGATTTACGTATCTGTTTATTGTTAGAAATATATTGTTAGAAATATGCTGTTGCTGAAAATATATATTCAGTAATATTAGTTTGTGTTTTAGACCCATCCCCACTTTGAAGATTGAATAAATATTTTTTATTTGTTATCTCCTTTTTTTAAAATCATGTTTTGATTTTCTTTTATATTATTTTGTAAAATTAAATTCTTGGGGTATGTACCTCTTTTTTTTTTTATTATTCCACAACTTTTGCAGCATTTTTTTTTCCTTTCTTACGTTAAAAATCTATTACCATTTTTTAACAATTAATAGGTTGTTAAAAAATTGTTAATGCAGCAGACCCACATAAATTGAGCTCCGGACTATAGAGTTTCTAAACCATTCTCCATGGTAAGAGCATTATTTATGAAGTGGAGTCATGAAAGAGAATCCCCTACTTCATATCTCCGCACATGTGCTTGAGAGGTTCTTAATACCCATACACTTAGAGGTTTTCTAATGTGTTTTTTCTTTCTATTTATTTCACGATCTTGCATAATTAGAAAGGTAAAGCACAATGTGTCAACAGTGTTTTATCCCCCATTTAGCGGGGTCTAGTTCTTCCCTATAATTTTTTTAATCATACTTTTTCCTTTCAAACTATGTAATATCAAAATGTTGATGAGCACAAGTTTATACATGTTTTTCCCATGTATTTTTTATCCTGCTCCAGAACAGGTGTAAATAGTTTACAAAGAACTTTTTTTGCTTACAGCATGCTCCAATATTTACTTGGTACAGGCCGTTCAAAGTTTCAGAGGTCAGGAATCATCACCTTATATCTGTAGTAGTATGTCACACACACACATAGATATATATTTAACATCCTCATAGTTGCGTAGTATTAATGTATTTGCTTATTGCTTCAAAACTTGGCTTCAAAACTTGGCAATGACATTCACTTTTTAGAAAAGCCAGTAAAAATTGTGTGGACCACATATTGTAGGGGGAAAGGGTATCAATCGAAGTCGGTGCTGGGTGGCTACGTGGTCTCAACTGAGTCAATCCCAAGCTTGTAGTCTGGAGTTCAATCCTCAATTCTTCTATACTCCATGTTAAAAGTATGTCATATTATTTCCCATACACTGTTCTTTGTTTCCTCACCCTCTTCTTGTTTTTCCTTATGGCTTCCCTGTTGATATCCATCAATGTGATTTACTTTCTACTCTACATGACTTTAATTACTGTACTAAGTCCTTTGTTTCACCATAAATAGAACCAAACTTTCATCCAAAACAAATGAATGACTAAAACATCCTCATAGTTGCGTAGCATTAATGTATTTGTTTATTGCTTCAAAACTTGGCTGATCAAGCTGATGAAATTCACTTTTTTTTTTAAAAGCCAGTAAAAATTGTGTAGACCACATATTAATGGTAGGGGCAAAGATAATCAATCAAAGTCCTGCACCTCAATTCAACACCTTGACACTTTTCTTTTTTTTTTCTGGTGAAGATTAGATCTAAAGCATGGTGAAATTTTTTTTAAAAATGTAATGCTAATACTGTATGCAGAAAGCAAAGGACTCACTCATTCATGGCCACATTAGTGTAACATCTTTCTCGGGGACTACCTGAAGAAAGTTTGGGGATCACTGCTCTACGTGATAAAAGAATTATTCTACTTGCATTAGAAATGAATTGAATCTAAGCACTACTGGTTGTAAAGGAAGAAGTCGGTATATTCCCCCTTACCAGCCTAGGAGTTAAACGTTTACGGCAGTAAGGGTTGAGAGGGTTCTGGTGGCAGTGTCAAGAAATGGCCAAATGAAAAAAATCCTAAAGAAAAACTAACGGTGACAATGCCCTAATGGAAATGCACAATGCCAAATGTACTGTGACAATGTCCTAATGGAATGTATAATGTCCAATGGAAATGTACTGTGACAGTGTCCTAAAGGAAATGTACAATATCAAATGGAAATGTGCTGTGACAATGCCCCCATGGAAATGTACAGTGATAACACATTTTGTTTTGTAGAAATATTATATATTACAAGTTGTTTTTTTTTTGGAGGAGAAAAAATATATTTTTTTTATAAAATCTGCAAAATTAATTTGTGTTCACATGCTTATAAAAAAATATTTAAAAATTACACTTTTTAAAATTGAAGTTAAGTTTATTATCAATATTAATGAAAAACATAATCGGATATGCAGATCTGCTCTGCACACATGTATTTATAGCTTATGTAAAACAAGACTCATGGATGGTGGATAAAATAACAGAAATTGTATGTTTTCATAATTGTTAATACACACAGAGAAATTCAGCAGAAAAAAAACAAAACATTTCTTTAATGCATGATGTTTGATCCAATACTGAAGAACAAATAAAGCAAATGTTGAGAAAGCAATTCACGAGTTCAATTGGTTCAAACAAAAATATATATTTACTGAGAAGAAATATGGATTTTAAATTAAAATAGTGTTTTTTAGTTTCCTTATCATGCCACTTATTTTCCTATTTCAAAATCAGCTTGGCTTAAAGTTAAATAAAAAATAACCTTTTTTTTTTTTTCAATTATTAAAAAAAAAGCAATTTTACAAGTTGTGTCAAAATTGTTTTGAATAAAAAATGATTTTTTCCATTAAATTTTAGTTATTTATATCATATGTATTGTACGCCATTTTTAAAAAAAAATTATTCATTTAATTAATATTCTTTTTTAAATGTTCATCAAAAAACCACTTTGAAATCCCATACATGTAACAAGCAATTTACAAAGATTGATTGACTGCAGTAGGTACTGGCATTTATATAAAAATTAATGATGCAAATAAGTATTGTGGAGAACAGAATGATGATGAAAATCAAGACAAGAAAACTGGGCTAAACCTTTTTTTCTCTTTCAAGCTATGCCATTTGAATTAATAAATGAAATATAATCGTGATAAGGTTGCTTTCCTTGAATAAAATATTATAATCAGTAGTCTAAATCGAGACTACACCAAAAATTGATAGATCCTAACTTTGTAAACAATTTCTTTTAAATAGACATCTGAAATTTAACAAACTTTTTCATACATAAAAATGTACCCCTATGTCAAAAAAAAAAAAAAATGTTGAAAGCAAAAAGGAAGTTTAACATCAGAGATATAGCATATAGGATGAAGTATCATACTGCCCTATCGAAAACCAGGAGTTCTTAACTTATTTTCCTAACTTTGTAAACAATTTCTTTTAAATAGACATCTGAAATTAAACAAACTTTTTCATACAAAAAAATGTACCCCTATGTCAAAAAAAAAAAAAAAATGTTGAAAGCAAAAAGGAAGTTTAACATCAGAGATATAGCATATAGGATGAAGTATCATACTGCCCTATCGAAAACCAGGAGTTCTTAACTTATTTGCGTAATGGCTTTGATGAAACCCTATGGACCAATAAAAAAATTATATTTTTTTTTTTAAATTTAAGAATGTTTTGTTTTTAAAAATAAATTCTTCTCACTTGAATACATTCATTTTTTTTCTCCTGGAGGTCTGTAGATTCTATGTCAAGAGTCCCTGCTATATCACAAACATTTATACATAGCCAATAGACTTATGTATGATATGTATACATTAGAAGGGGGGAAGGGGGTCAAAACTTTGACTGCCTAGGTTCTCTGCATCTTATTATCAGGCATTGCACCCCATGCCATTAGTCAACTCATACTCTAAAGTTTTGGATTATGTGACTTTAGCGTCTGCTTCAATCTACTTCAAAGTATAACAAAAGCATATGTGCAAAAAAATAATATATATATATATATATACAAACAGTTTAATCAAATGTAACACAGGCAAATGAACTGGAAAAAATGCTAAACACACAAGGGGCAGGATAAATACACTTGAGGCTTGTGTCCAAATTAATTTTTGAATGTGTTTTAAGCACATGCAACATTCAGTGTGAAATATTCCATAAAATGTATTTGAATATGCACACACACAGAAATATATATGTATAAGCAGAACAGAGTTTGTGCCAAGTTAACCCACGATCAACCAGTGAGTAAATATTTACACATAGCACAGAGACATAGAAAATAAGCATACAAATTATGATGGTATCATTAGACTGTATCAGTGGCGCTTCTGAAAACACACTTAAATGTATATTTATACAAAACAAGGTGAAATCAATCAAGCAAAGCTGCCTTTTAAAAGATAAACTTACTGCATTGGTTCTGAGGCCTATATATCAAAGCCATTCATGCATGAAAAAAAAGGCCAAAGATGGTGGATTTTCAACCCTTTTTTTTTTATCTGCCTACTATTGGAAAAAAAGTAAAATATTTCAGGGGTAAAAAAAAAAAAAAAAAAAAAATAAAGCCATTAATGCATGAAAAAAAAGGCCAAAGATGGTGGATTTTCAACCCTTTTTTTTATCTGCCTACTATTGGAAAAAAAGTGAAATATTTCAGGGGTAAAAAAAAAAAAAAGGAAAAACTATTACCAGTATTTACAAATTTTTCATGAATAAGATTTTAATATCAAATAGAATTAAGATAACTGTTATATTATATGAAACCTTAAGTAAAACAGCAGAACAAAAATGCTGATAAAAGAACATCTTAAACTTTTCAGACAATAATGATTAAGTATAAAAAATAAGTACGATCCTCTGGAAATGACTGTGAACTGGTCCATTAAACGCCAGTTGAAAATCACTGGTCTAGAGCACACCTCAAAGATGAATTATTAAGAATTCAACACAATTTACTTTCCGTGTATACTAGTAATTATTTTTCTAAACATCCATAAAATACATATATCTAAACAGCGGTGAAACTGTTGGAATAGGGTGATAGTGAATATGCTTTTTGTCCAATAAAAAATAAGAGATTCCGGCTTTTAGCCAGTCACAGCTTTGACAAGCCATATAATAAAATAAAATAATATCAGAATTCGCCATTATTATTTTCTTTTTGAAGTGAGCGTTCTACTTTTTAAAAAATGAGAACAGTCTTAGGATCATCCTTCTTGGAATGAAAACAAAAACTGCACTTTATTAAGGGCAACATGACAACATAGAGAAGCTTAGCGAATACAAAAATAATATAACATATTTTAACCCTTTTGAAACTGAGCCTTTTTGGAGTGCTGGTGCCAAGAAGCCCTTTCTACAAGCTCGGCACTCACATTGCAAATATAAATTATAGAAAGTAAACTAACTAATTTACAAAAATAAAACTATATATATTCTTACAGGGTATTGAATAAACTAATACGATCTTTACAAATCAAACTGAAATCTCAACATTTATGCTAATGAGATATCTTGATTGGCATAATTTATGCATGCAATTCTTTTTTGCACTTAGAATAAACACATCTTACTAGAAGAATTTTTTTTTAAAATGTTACTGTTGAAGCCTAAATAAGTAGTAACCCATATTTGAATGAGATGCAATGTGGAAAAACTACATAAAATATTCCACAAGGACTGCTTATGCCTTTAGCCATATTTCAAGGTCACATATTTTCAAGCACTTATATTAGGGGACACTGAGTACCAAAAAAAAATGATATAAAATGACAGCACCGTAAAATATCAATGGAAGCCACCACTTAAATGGCGAGATGAGCAAGAAATGTGAGAAGCAATCTGATTAACTGGTAAGAAGACCAGCCAGCCAATCGCAATATGGCAAATGGATCTGCCCTTTGCCTTTTTTCAGCATTTGACCCTGGGCCTTTAGATCGCCCCAGCCGTCCCAAGAGGATTAAAGTCTGTTTAAGTCATAACTAATAAAAAAAAAAAAACATCTGAGCAATATAACTGCAAAATTTAAAAACATTCTAAGCTAAAGAGACATGCAAACATTCAACTGTTTGGTATTCGGCATCTGGACGTCCCCAACTTTTCTATTAATATTACAAATTACTCCCAATACAAGAGACATTATGTTGGATACAACCACACAAACTAAAGCATGAATTTTCAACACTGATAAAAGTTCTTTGTTATAAGAGCTTTCTTGGCAATCTACTTCAAATTTCTTTTAAACTATACTTAAAAGTAATGGCTAAACTTGATAAATTTCTCAAAATCTTCTCACCTCTTTGCACAAGTTTGAAATGTACTTGTACCAAGTGATCTGAGAAACTTTCAAAATAAAATACATAGCTACTCCCACCATCTATAACACTTCAACAACAATCCAGCTAAGACTACCCCAGAGGAGAGATTAATCATTTTTGAGAACAACCTGGTTAAAATGGAAGATTAATGGTGGTTGGGGGGAGGGGGGGGGGGAGACCTTTAAACTATGGTCCAATTAACTCAGTACTATTTTTGATCTATGCATTTTTATGTCATTGTTTGTTATTTTTTCCAACAAATGTCCTGACATAGCAATCCTGATTTTATCTTTGCTAGTGCTTTCTTTATATTTAGGCACTTTTTGTTTGCAATGTGAAATGTTAATATTTTGAAATCTCCATTCTGATTAAATTTATCATTTTGCGCATCCCAATTTTTTTACTATAATTTGGTTCTTTTAAAATAAATTTGAAACACAAACACTTAGACATTTTTTGACTCTCTATATATAACAAACACAATTGTTCATCCTGTTGCAGTAATGTAAATATATAACATGGAGTTTAACCACCTTTGGCTAAAAAAAACATATATCGGAGAGCTTATAAGTGTGAAAAAGAAAAGCTGCTGAAATTATTTAAATAAATTGTAAATATAGAATGTTCCTTCAAATATTTTAAAAAATGCCCTTAAAATAAATCCTGGAAAAAAAAATTATCAGGTTTAAGTCACGCATTTTAAAGACTGTTTTTGCTTGCAGAGCGTGTTAAACAAATATGCTTTAAACTAAAGTCCATACTCCTTCTAACTTGTGGAAAGATCTTGAAGACACTGAGAGAGACCATCTTCTGAGGAATCTGTGAAACGTTCAATATGGTACGGTCTTTGTAAATGATCAGGCAATCCACAGGCCCCATCCCAGTAGGCTTCATGGTAACTGTGAGACTGAAACAGATAAATGATGGTAATTGTGAGACTGAAACGTAGCATTCAAATAATATTTTGATAGTGGACCATATTGTATAAAGTAAAAAAAAACATGTTCTCGTGAAAGTAGGCCAACTTTAACCCTTTGTAAAAAATTTTTTTATTAAATTCAAAGTTAAAATATGGTTAGGAAACAAGGGAAGGGTGATTTATTTTTTAAAATTTTGAATATGGCTTAAACTTAAACCCTTAGAAAACATGACTGAATATATAACTCACCATTTTCACATTACGCTTCCAAAGCTGGTGACACCGGCCGAGGCAAATGGGGCAAGTCCTGCTCATAGCAAAGCCTCCACACTCACTGCAATCCTGGCTAAACTGGTTATCAAACCAACATTTGCCACACCTGTGAGGTTTAGGATAGTTTTGGATACACTATTTTTTAATTAAATTCTAACCAAAGCTATTAATATTATTAACCAAGCCACTTAACCTACCAATAACATTTTATTACAGGTCCCTTATTAATAACAGATACTTATGTTATTTGAATGTTATTATAATTATATTCTCAAAGTCTGTAAAAATTATTACATGTGGACAGCATGAGGCGTTATTTTTGATGTGACTGGCTCGGGCCTAATGGTGAATGTATGATGTTAATGTTATATCTATGTAAAAATATTTCTTTATAAAGCAATAAAAACACTGACAGTTTTACTTTCATCATGGGGTCAAATGCTTGTCATGTAAAATGTCTTCATTGCTACGCTTGAAAGACCAGCTTACAATTTCTTAACCATCAAACCACCCAGCTAACCCATTTTTCAACTATCAAGGGGACCAGTGGTGTCAAACTGAACAAAATAAACATCATGCTACTCGAGATACCTTTACAGACATCTGTACTGCAGCCCTCACCAAACCAATATCAAATTTACCATCTAAAAAATATTTGAATTTCAAACAGTTCAAACAAATTTAAAGCACATAATAAAACATAAACTTACAAATGACATGTGTCGATTTTCCGTTGGTATGCTTCTGCCTGCATCATTAGTTCCACTTCCTCTTTGGGTAAGTCATGCCCTTGCTTCCCAGGATCAAAATCACAAAAGTACACAGATGCTCTAGGGCCCTGAAGAACTTCATCTAGAAAAAAAAAAAAACACATATATTTACACATCAACATAAAATGTAAGCCAAAATCCATTAATTGTAGATACTTTTACAGTCCACCAGAAAATTTTGAAAAGAAATCTTTAACTTTGAACTTAATTTTCATGAATTTAAAATATAAAATTTAATAAAATAAAATTTATATTAGAAATACATAACCTTAAAGTGTTTTTATATCATGCATACCATCAGACTCGTTGTTTGTAACTGCAACATCCATAGCCTCATCATCAGGAACTTCCCCATCAGCAAAGCCTTCATCCCCACCTGCCTGACTTTGTAAATCAGGATCCATGATCACCTCAGTTAACTGAAATCAAAAGTCATTTAAAAATCTAATAGGAAATTGATTTTAGATTGAAGAATTTGATTAAGCATAAGCCATTATAACAAAAACTGATTTGTGTTTCAGGAATCACTTGTCTACCTAATCACCTAATAATGTTAGTGACAAGAGTCTATAGTCAAATGATGTACACTCATTCTCATTGACATACTATCTTTAACTTATTAGGGTAGGCTTTTATATAACGAAGTGTCTACACGTCCGGCGCGCCGGACAAATAGTGCGCAAGATATACGTTCGGCGGCATGTCACGTGACCGCCGGACGGCTAGTAGTTTTAATAATTCCGAACGAAGTTCGGTTTGGTAGATCTTGTCTGGTCTAATGGTAGAGTGGACGCTTGGCGTTATTATGATTTGAGGATCAATACCGGAGATCGTTTTTTTTTCTTCCCATTTTAATTAAAAATATTTTATACTATATTTATATTATCTTGTTCATCAGCAACAGTAGTTTCATGAGAAGTTTTTAAATATTTTGTAGCAATTTAAACAATTTAAAATGAAATCTTTTACTTTTATTGGTTGCCTACTCCACACTGGCCCCTAATTTATTTTAAGGATTACTGGTACACAAACTCAAATAACAAACTAAACAAAAATGTTTACAAGCCACTTTCACTTAAGTTTTTTTATATTATTTGCATTCAAGATACTCAGTACATTACTTGGTAGAGAAATAGATTTTAAAATTAATAATAGTTTTGAATCATTCGCAGTCAACGTGACAAGGCTGACCAACAAGATATCTCTCACCACTTTCTAACGGCGGTCATGTGACTTGGTCGCCGGACAAATAGTGCGGGAGATATACGTCCGGCGCGCCGGACATGTAGCTAGACACTGCCTTTGCCTTTATATAATAATTTAGATTTAGATACTTCAATTTCATCACTTCTTTATGATTAGTTAGCTACTAACCTCAACATTAATTAATGATTGTTGTTGGGTAGGTCGCAATACTTCCTTTTTAACATTGGCCTAAGTTTGAGCCTAATAATATGGTATGAGTATAAACATAAGCGGAAGCCCTAGCCTAACTAAGTGTGACAACTTTATTGTGAAGTTAAAATCTGTGGACAGTGACGTATTGTCATTGAAAGGGCAGAAATATGCAGTATCAAATTCAAAACATAAGTGCAGCAACACAAAATCAAATTGAGCCCTCGGAAACTCCTAATTATTCCAGTTTATAATTTTCAGTTTGAATCTTTGACACTTAAATTAAATTGACTTGGCCACTTGGATTCCAACTCCAAGTTGAAAATTAATTTGTTCCCATTTTTTTCAATCAGTCGCTAACAATTTACTAGGTCTATAATCAACTCAAAGAAATTAGCCAATAAAATTTATGATTTAATATGAATGATTACTTTTCAAAATAAGAAGGACTCCATAAAATGAAAGTGTTAAGGTTGCAATCAGAGCCAGAAGAAACAAATTGCACGGAATAAACGAGGGGAAAAGTAAATGTTTACCTTTTCTTTAGAACTTCCTGTTGTGTATGCAAATTGTTAGCGACGAAATAAATGAGCATTTCCGGAACAATTTTGATACAACATGTATTAAAACCCTCAAAAAGATGAAACTTGTGGTTTTTTAAAAAAACCAAATCTTAACTAAAGAGTTCTTAAAAATAAAAACATTTTTAAAAACTCATTTTTAATATTAAATGCTGTATGTCTTTATTTTTTGACTTAATGTCTGCAGCTATTTGCATGTAAAAATTGAATTTTTATATTTGAAGGTCGTATCGACGAAAGGGCTTCGGGTCAAAGGTTAATTTAAATTTAGAACATTCCTGGTTTCACTGCTTAACTGCGCGTGGAAGGAGAGGCCGCGGGCTGGCGAGACTGGGTTCGCGAACTCGTCTTTCCACCACATAACTTGACACGAATAGTTCTGCGTTCATTGATAGTTTTTCTGTTGGGTGCTGCAGGAGTAATCTTCATTTTTGAGTTAAATTTTATTTCTCATCCATCATGTAAGGTATGTGATTTCGTTGTGAAGCAATAAAATAACTTTTCAACTTATTTGTGTTAGTTTGATGGGTCGTTAATACGTTTTCCGCCTTATTTTAGCACGAACAAGTTGTGCGCCTGACTGCATCAAACTTTTAAAAGTAAATTAAATAGACTTGACACTAACAGTTACAGTTTTAGACGGACCACTTTGAACCAACTAAACTGCTGCTATTGCAATATAAGACACGCCCTTTTGTAATGCTAACTGGGGCGGAGTCTCGACAGTCTGATTCTTATTTACGTTCTGTGATCGGCAAGCAGAGTTGGTAGCCTAAGCTAAAACTAAATTAAACTTTGTAACTTGGTTAGTTCATTCATAAACATTGTCGTTTAAGAAGTTTAGTACAAAATGAAAACATAATTAAATTATATTAAGATTTGATTATTATGATATATAGTATATCGTGTCTAGCTTGAGGTCTAGACTTCAGCCACTTACTAAAGACTTTAGACTTTAGGTCTATATTGTAAACTCTAGTTTCAGATATTTTAATATATATTATATAGGCCTATATATATATATATATATATATATAAATAAATATATATATATATATATATAT